GTGCTCTATTTTCGCTACCCCCCTCTCTCCCTGCTGCTCCGCTCACCGGTACGTGCTTCCCTTCGGCCTGTCTGGAGTTACGGAAGGGCTCTGGCGTGCAGCCTCTCCAGCAGTTCAGTGTCGTACTTCTCATTTTCTGCAGCGGGTTGAATTCCAGATAATTTCTGTGAGCTCATTTTGTAGCCCTTCACTCCCCTTCCCTAAAGACCAACGCTTTTGTGCTGCTGCCTTCCCACAGACATTCTTCAACATGCCAAACTTGACCTTAGGCTCCATGGCTAGATGGGGCCTGATCCAAAATCCATTAACATCAGGGGAAATGCCCATTTATGTCCATAGGCCTTGCATTAAATCCTTTGTATTGTACGTATTTTCTTTCTATTTTAAGTAGTGCTTCTTACTCAGTTCCAGTTATGAAAGTCAGATTAATCTCTGATAGATCCCTGACAGCTCAGTGTACTGTATAAGCCAACCTGTGCTACATCCAAAGACAGAGACCCAAACTCTGCTGCTGCACTACTGTGACATCTGAAGCTGGTCTGCCAAAAGCAAGGCATTATTCCCAGGTTTCATTCCTGCAGAACTGAGGCCAGCACCTGTCTTACAATTCTCCAGCTGAGGTTCCCTATAGTAGTGCACTGGCTCTCTCAAAACATTTTTTTTTATCTGCACAAATATTTTCTAGTCCCTACAACATTATTCTGCCCAGACACCATTCAATATTCACCTCTGTTTGCAGTTTTACTCTCGGTACAAGTAGACTGCTATGTCAGCCAGAACATCAATATTTCTTTCTGTTGACACAATACTTTCTTATCCATATTGCCACCCCTCCTCCTGCTTCATTTTGCCTATGTTCCTTTTGAAAACTCTACCCCCATAATTTAGTCTCCCACTCAGTACTTGGTTTAATCAAGTCTGTCACTCAATTTATATCCCACTTCTCTCCTAACACAAGTTTCTCAGCTAGCAATCTGTTCCTATAGCACTTGCTATGGGTGACACATGTTTAGCTATCATTTCTACGTTTGCTTCTCTGCTTTCTCCCTTTCTTATTTCCAGATCTCATTTTTCAAATGTTTTTCACATATTTTTATGAGACCGCTGCAAATCAGGGCTTCTGCAACATCATGGGGTGCTTTGCATTTTAACTGTTGTGCAGAACAGTCCCGGGCTCTAGTTAATCAGTTTTCAACAAGTTAAGAGCAAAATCCTATCTAAGGACTTCTCCAGGGCAGGAACTGCCTTTACCTGGGTGCTTGGTGAAGTGCATACATAGCAACATATTGAAGCTTCTTGAAAGTCCTTGAGTGTATGGCATTAAAAACTTTATGAAACAAAGTGATTTTTGTAACATAAAAGAAAGACTTCCTTTTTTTTTAAGTAATTCTTTGCATTTCTCTGCTTCTGTATGCCACTCATGCTTTTGCTTTGTGTTTTTGTTATTTTTCTTCTACTACTATTTTCTCCTACTGTAACTGCGTCCTCTACCTCTTCCTTCTCCAGGTCCCAGTTAAATTCTAAGAATTAGAAGTTTCCCTGCTTCCATACATCTCCTTCATCACAAGGACACAAGAAAGTGCAGCCCTTTCTAGTGATGAGCTTCTCCCTCACTTCCTTCCTATTACTGGCACTGCTGGGAGCCTATGTGCAGATGGGCAGCATCTCACTCACAGTTTAATGCATTGCTTTGGGTAAACATTGCCTGTTGCTGTAGCTATTTCTGGTGGCATGTGCCCTTTTTTATCTGCATCGCCTTTCTTTCGGTGTGTAGGAAGGTGTGTAGCTGGTGAATGCACAAAAGCTCAGATCCTCTCCTTGGGACTGCTCACACAGCACAGTGCGCTAAAATCCAGCCTTAAACATCCACGCTACATTTCGGTGTCAAGGGACGCTCCAAGAGCAGCATTGGTTGCAGCTCCAGCTGCCTCTCTATGCTCCAGCACAGCCGACAGGGTTGGGTACCCCTTCACTACATGACCTTGTGCAACCACAGTACCCATTGCCTCTCCTGCACTGAGAACATGTCATTTCATTGGGAGGCTGTGCACCAGCGATGCTGTGCCCCAGCACATCTGGAGTCTGCCATGTGGTTTCTGTGTTATCAGCAGTTTCCTCTGATGAGGAGAGAGGTCCAAGTTGTCCGACTGCTTTCCTGCTCCTCTGCGACTCATCCAGCTGCTGGGGAAACTCGCAGGCAACTGCACAAGGCCGCTGGAGCAGCACTAGCCCAGCACAGAGCTGCGTGAGGCAGAGCCGCTGGCGCCTGCTCGCTGGGTCAGCTGGTGTTTCCCTGCACTGTTCTGTGGGTTGGGGGCGGTTTGAAAGCTGCTGTTTCCTAAGCACCCTGTGGAAGGTGTGTTTTGGTGGAGCTTCACTGTTATACCCACTGTCTGGTTGCATTGCTGGGGCTGCGTCGCTTAGGGGCAGATACTACACCAGGCTGGCCCTATTTAACCTGCAGACATAGGGGGCACGTGCTGGTGCTGCTGGGCCCACGCTTTTCACCAGGTTGAATAACCCGATGATTCCTTAGGCCGGTCACAGAGCAGTAATGCGTGGTACTTACATAGTACTTTCCATTTTCAGATCAGTTTAATACTGTTCCTGGCTTATGGGAGGCTCATCTGTCTCGCTGGATGTTCGCAGCCCGGCTTTCTCTGCCAGTCACGCAGGAGAGGCCAGAGCGGCCCTTCCCTCCCTGCCTGGATCAGTGACTGCCCTATATAAACCTGCGCATTAAGCAGATCTGGCAATTGGTGAGACCGAGACAGACTCCCTTAAAGCAGGGGTGAAAGGCGCCCTGCCCGCGGCGCTGCGGCCAGCACTGCCGGGCGGTGCTGGAGACCGGCGGCAGCTGCCCAGGTCCGTGAGCCAGGGCGGCCTCTCGGCCCCTCCTGCCCGGCC